CAGATAGATAGATAGATAGATAGATAGATAGATAGATAGATAATGAACACGGATAGATAGATAATGAACACGGATAGATAGATAGATAGATAGATAGATAGATAGATAATCCCGTAAATACAGACATGTTTTGTGTAGTATAAATCAAGTCTCTAGAAAAGCTCTGAAAATCTAGGTTTCTTTGGATATATCAGCCAGACTATTTGTACATATCCGTGAGAAAATATAGCATTTTTCATAAAAAATAAAAATAAAGACGTTAAAAAAACTGAAAGAAAGAAACTGAAAATTCTTGATTCCTTTACGCTAATCATTATAAAAAGAACTTAAATATAGAAAATGTGTTTTTATAGAAAGTTCTTTTTCTTATTGGCGCTTTGATAGTTGTTGATCTTGTCGCGATAGAAATTCCATTAACTTATTGAACAAGAATAACAACATTAGCTCTACTCAGACACAAGAGATACCGGAAGTGATAGGTCTGGACTATACACCGTGGCTAATGACCGTGAGCCAATCCACTTTGATTTAAGATCAACCAAATCTCGGGAAACGTTCACGCTGTATTTGTTGTCAGAATCTCCATAATGGAGACGGGCATTAGTTAATCTCTTTCTAGGAAGAGTGACTTAGCACTCGAGCTCCCTCTGGTGGCTGCAACAGCAAGAGCACTTAATCAAAGCAATTCATTTCAAGCCGAGCTCTTCTCCTCTGTGGAATAGAAATTCTGATCGATCAAGTGAACGAATCACTCGCCGAAATTATCTCTCTAGTTTTTTGGTTTATTCTTTAAGTATACCATATAGTAGAAATACGTCAATTTTATAAGATTTATTATATCTTGGAACGGGAAGATGATCAAGTGTAGGAGAACGCAGGCACAAATATTGTATTATATTGGCTTTTCCGAGTGGAAAGGACCTAAATACTTGCCTTGAAAATCAGCATTCAATATCCTGGATTTTACGTGTGTTCGAACACTAGTCTCTAGCAGAAAATACACAACTATATTAATGATGATCCTTGAATTACTTCCAGTGAAGATCGGACCTGTTAGCATAAAATGATCTGCGACACTTGTTTGCTAACCATTGTCAAATAACAAGACACCTTAATATGATATTTATTAAATTTGCTTTAGCCTGGAACAACGCTTTTGACGTTGGCACCATGTGAGGATCAAATTCCCTAATTATTTGCGAGCCGAACATCTAAATTAAACTTCTGACATCTCTTCCAAGATATTCGGCAACCTGTAAGGATTTCTTTTAGATTCAAACGACAGACAGCGTTTCAAAAATTTCAAATATCTGTATCTTGATTAGATTGCATTGCAAGCATATTTTTAAGAAATGACTATATAAAAAATAATTCACAAAAATATATTAGTCTATAATTTTTTATTTGATAAAAAAGACTTTTTGCAATTTCAAGGTTTCGTTGTCTGTTTTTGCTTTTGATTGTCACAGGATAAATTGCAAATATTTCGAAATATTAACAAGCATCGTATTCTGAAATATTTTTCATTGTAGTTTTTATCCTCGACAGAGTTCTTAATATTAGTTTTCTGAAATAACGCGAACACTTTTACGAACTGAACTTTTTTTTCAATATTTATTTCGTAATGGAATCGTTTTCTTTTCATTCGTATTTGTTTTCTTCTTCTTTAATTCTATTTTCGCGTTTCTTTTTGATTCACATTTAAAGAGTTTTTTGTTTGACCGCTGGTCTTTGAGGTTTAATGGCCTGGTGCGTTGTAGGTCGAGGTTGGGAGTAAAACAGAATTTACTTTTGTGAAAATAAATTCAGACTGGAGGTTGTTTTCAAAAGCAACAAATGTTGGTTTCAAAAGTGGGTGGGAATTAAAAAGGGAGATAACAAATGTTTAATTGAGGCAAATCAATTCAAAATGTGTGTCTTAATATTGAAAAGTCGCAATTTTAAAATGCCAATCATTAGAAGTGCATAAAACTGATGTAGTCTCTTCAATTGAGGCTTATTTTTATTCCTTAATTTATTCCAATATTTATAGAGCAACGCAAGATTAAAGAGAAGTTGGTGTTAGGAAGATTAAAATGCGCCAGTCTAAGTAGGGCAAACCTGCTTCAGTGGAAAATCTGTATTCAAAATCCAAGGTTTGTAGCTAGATTTGAACTCCGACCACTAGTAAGAAAAAAAGGCAACTTTTTAACCGACTAAATTGTATAATGCTTATAAAAACAATTCCATGTAGAATTGAATTAAATTATTATATATATATATATATATATATATATATATATATATAATAGTCCAAATCGTGTAACAGCAAAATTGTCCAATTGTAAGATTAAGCTTTGAACCGTTGTAACTTAGAAATGAATAAAGATATCTTACTAGAATTCTTCGAAGTTTTTATAACACTATTGGACTATACTTTGAACATTAAGAATGTGTTTAGCACTAAGTGGGAATGATGATCCCTCTTCTTCCTGTGACCTCCTGATCCAGTTTTCCTCTCTACTGTTCCCTCTTTTATTAAACTTATTCCCCATTCTCTTGATGGTTCTTGAATGGACTTTGAAGATGGAAGCCAGTGTATGAATGTTGGTACCATTACTGAAGGCATGAATGATTTTTCCCTTTCACAATTGCTCAGTTAAGAGGACTGTGTTGATGACACAAAACGATTTTAATCTGTTCACTTCCTAGTGAATAACTCAAAGGGTATTTCCATGATTCTTACGACAAATGTTGTCAAGATGGCTAAATGTCTTATCTAAAAACTGTAAAAAGAAACGCAATTAGTTTAGTATTTTTTAGATATTAAACATTTTCTGAGATGAACAATTATTGCATGCTGTTACACGATTTGGACAATTTTGTTTTGCACCCGATATATATATATATATATATATATATATATATATATATATTAATGCATGTTTCATCAAATAATGTAGACAAGTTTTCTCTATTAATTTTGAGTAAGTTCCTTTCATATTGTGTGATTTTATATATATATATATATATATATATATATATACTAGCAGCATGGCCCGGTGTTGCCCTTGCTTGATTAAAAAATCGTACGACTCATACAGCAATCGCTATCACTTGACTTAAAATGTTTTTGCCCTTCCTTGCCTTTAAAGGAGTGCCCTTTGCCGTGCTGATGTTGCTACATGCCTTACTTCTTGCTTATCCCACACTGTGAATTTTTTCTTAGCTTTATGCTAAACATTAAATCTGTTACGAAAAAAGAACTAAACAAAATGAACACAAAACGATCAGCTTTAAAAAAGGACTCGTAACTGGAAAAAACGAATGAAAAAAAGAATGTTAACAAATACTTTTTCACATCCAACCCAGTTCTGCGGGATCAGAATCAACGTTGAATTTAAGCAAGCGAATGAGCCACTTTGAGTAAAGTGCCATGCAGATTTAAATTTTTCCCACTTGTGACGAATGCAGCTATCGATTTTTTTGCATGCTAGTTAACATTCGTGTCAGTCAGCTGTTGGTTCTCACGCTGGCCAATAGAATCTTCCTGCCTATTCATGGCAGCCAGCAATAGGCTGTCACTCTGGCCAGTAGAAAATGGCCACAAACTACATGAAAACTGGCGTAGAAGCATGAAAAAATCGATTATTTCCACTATCGATGGGAGTTTGGAAATGCAAAGACGGTCTTAGCCTTTCTACTAACTTGGAGCATGTACATATAAATTTTGGTGCAAATCCGTCGAAAATTGTGGCCGTGCATTCGTTACACACAGACACACATCCTGCCTCATATATATATATATAAATACGAAGTAATATATTATTCAAAAACCGCTCAATATTAATTTGTGACTTTGCTTGATTGTCCGATAGAGGTTGCATTTATTTGAACTGGTTTTCTTCGGCAGTTCTACAAGAATCGATCTGCAAAAGACTTTCGATATATCACCAACTTCGACTATTTTATTTATTATTTCTGTAATCTTGTCAATCTCAGAACATTCTTGTGTCTCTTTGACAAATGCCATCTGTGTTCCTGTTATTTTGTTCCTCTTCATCTTGGGTAGTGACAATGTTGCCTCAGATTGTTAATATTTCAGGTTTATTCCTGTTTTTGTAGCTTTCTATAGCAGATTCCATCTTTGAATATTTTTTCTTTCTCTATCATAATATAATTGTCTTTTTAGGTCTTATTCATCATGTTGAGGAGCCACACAGAGACAAAACTAATATGATCAACTCATAAAAGATATTCCACATGAACTAAACTAATGAACACCTGAAAATGGCCAGAGGGTGCTCGGCTGAAACGTTCTCTCTGTAACAACGTCTATAATAATCAAAGGCATAAACAATAGTTCGAATAAGTCAAAATAGTTTATTTTTTATTTCATATTTTAAAAGTAGTTGCGATATCGTTCTGCGCGCCAATTTCCCTTTTCTTCTTTTAGCAGAAAATCTGTTGCATAAAAGATAAGGAATACAATTTGTTCAAGTGTCTGCTTCAATAAATATGACTTAATTTAGCAGTGAAGATAAAAATCTAATGCGTGTGCCAAAGCGCAAGATATAATCTTATTAAGAGACGGTAACTTGAAACTCAAGCTGAAAGTATGTAAAGATGGCTTGAGAATAAGAACTTATTAAGAAAGATAGTGTTGTATTTAGTAAGAAAAAGAATAAGCAATTATTTTCGCGTTGATCCAGCCATTTTTTGTCCTTCAATGAGAATAAAATATCCATCATGTCATGCTGAGAACAGGCGTTGTTCTCCTCAGCACAATGGGAATCTCCAAAAACCGTCGGCAGCCTGGATATATTCAATGAATGATGACAGAATAAAAAAGAATGAAAAGAAAATATCTGATTTTATTTCTTAAGTTTATTTAATTTCCCTTTTGTGCCTTAAAATTTCATTGTTTAGTAAAGAAGGTTTTGATTGAAAGTATTTATCTGTTTCAGGAATGGTACGATCAGCGCCTGTCGTGGGACCCAAAAGAATTTGGTAATGTCAAAATGATACACATTCCTTCTGATGATTTATGGAGACCAGACATTGTATTATATAACAAGTAAGTTTTAAAATGGACAGGAGCTAATTAAGGAACAGGGATTGCCATAAGTAAATAATCAATATTAACACATCAAAGGAAATAATCCTGAAATAAAAATTCGATGGGGTGATTGGAGATTTTGAGGAGTGTGGAATCACCCCTTAATTGCCGGGGTGGTAGTACCTGTTAGGGTCCCATCCGTGTGCAAATACTGAACCCCTAAACCAAGACAAAACACTATGAAAGTGTAAAACAACATTTTTAATAGTAAAAATACCAGCAATACATTTTTATACAAAAAATACCAACGGTACATATTTGTGGTAAAATGACGAACAATAAATTTTATCTGTAGTTGAAGGCATGAAATTGCGTTCCCTCTTTTTAAAATTTATTCACCATTCTCTTCATGGTTCTTGAATGGACTTTGAAGATGGAAGCCGGAGTATAAATGTTGGTGCCATTACTGAAGGCCTGAATGATTTTTTCCTCTCACCATTGCTCAGTTGGGAAGACAGTGGGGCTGACACAAAACGATTTTAATCTGTTATCTTTCTAACTGCGTAACTCAAAGGGGTTTTCAGTGATTCTTACAACACTTGGTATCAAGATGACTAAACGTCTTATCTGAATACCTGGAAAAAAAGAAACTCATTGAATGTTTTTTTTTTTAGATATTAAACATTTTGTGTGATGGACAATTATGCTGTTACACCTGGTATGCGTGTATGTCTTTTTTTTGTTTACATAATCGGAGTTTGAGTCCAGGTGAAGGTTGCCAGGATGTCAAAAGCACTCCCTGCTTAAGAGAATAGCGTTACATTTTTATCAAATAGAATAATTCGAATTAACTTAAATGCATAAATTGCAACACATATTTTGCTCTTCAGAACTGTATCTATTTATATGTTGGACATTTTGTGTAAATTTGTAAATAAGTGTTCGATCCCACTTGTGGCAATCAATTGTAGTTTGGTTCTCTAATCTGGTTTAAGTAATTAAAAAATCATAGATTCTAGTTGATTCACTCGCGTAATTATTAATGTTTTTTTAACACACTCCTGAACCGGAAGTTGTAATATTTCTTCCGTTACTTTCGACTGATCTCTGATTACATAAGAAACATACCTAATCTGCATCAAGATCTAATCTTATCTCTGACAATATCATCATCTTGTGCAGTCTGTTTGTATTTAAGAAGGCCTTTTCCATTTACAATACTATTTAAGATGAAATTGTCCTGAATGTTACACTCTCGCAGAAGACTTAACAAGCGTTGATTTAAGCACTATTTGTTTATTTGTTTATTTATGGGTAATAAATACAAACAAATAGTAAATTAAAAAAAAAATATCATGCAGTTTTTATCAAAATATTCAAAATTAGATGAATATAATTTTACCAGTAAATAAATTGCATTTATGCACACACATCCCCGCGTACTTGTGTGGCGGTGTCATGTAAGGGTGTAAAATAAAACGTGACTGAAAACAAATATTAAACAATATTTTACATCTTTTTTAAAAATCTTCCTTTTGAGCCTAAGTGAAATTTTTATCCATTTAATATATGTGATCCGGTTCACAGAATTACTCTGAGAGTCAAATCTGTGATGACTGAGGCGGACGTATAATTCTTATTGCCGCCTGTATTCGGCGTTTGTACCTAAGTAAAAATCAAGAATGCTCATCCTCATTTGGGAAAACTGATGCAGTCTCTTCATTCGCTCGATATCAGTTTAATCTAAGCTTAGATAATATCTGCATTGGTTTCTTCTGTACAAAAAGTAACCCAGTGTCACTAACTTGTATAATGAGTTCGAACTACATCAAGAATTCTAGTTGAATACAAACAATACCAAGTCGTTTAACAAGGAAAACTCATCATTGTTTGTAGTGGGTGTGCTCCTGACGCGTTGTCCCAATTTTGTGGCTTAAATTAAAATATTATTTTATTATTTAAACATAATTTATTCAAAGTTTAGTAAATTTTTATTACTATTTTATTGATTTTTTTGGTTCATCAAATTTTCTAATAGTATTTCCTCTTTTCGCAGTGCTGACGGCGACTTCGTCATCACCATGACGGCTACTAAAGCAACGGTATATTACGATGGCAGAATATCATGGGAGCCGCCTGCTATCTACAAATATTCTTGTGAAATTGATGTGGAATATTTCCCATTTGATGAACAAAACTGTCGTATGAAACTCGGTTCTTGGACTTACGACGGTAACGAAGTGGACTTGCTTCATTTTTGTCACGAGCAAGGAATAAACAATTCCGATGGAGACGTCACTAATTTGATGGGAATCGATTTGAAAGGTTATCAACAAAGTGTCGAGTGGGACATTCTCGCTGTAACAGCCGTGAGGAAGGTGAAAAAATACCCTTGCTGTCCAGAGCCTTATCCAGATATCACTTTTTATATCAGACTCCGGCGTAAACCGTTATTTTACACGCTGAACTTAATTGCGCCGTGTGTATCGATTTCAATGTTAACAGTGTTAGTATTTTACCTGCCGTCAGTGAGTGGAGAAAAAATCACTCTATCCATTTCTGTCCTTCTGGCCCTGACTGTGTTTTTCTTGCTACTATCCGATATTATTCCCCCGACTTCCCTCGTCATGCCCCTGATAGGAAAGTACCTGATGTTTACCATGTTGATGGTGACTGCATCCCTATTTTTGACTATCTACGTGCTCAACATCAACTACAGAAAACCGACGACACATGTCATGTCGGACTGGGTACGGTATTACCTACTAGAGCGACTGCCCCCTTACCTGTGTATGCGCAGACCCGAAATAAACAAACACCCATTGGAGATCGGCAAGGTGGCCGTCCGTACTGTGAACGGCATGGAGGTACGGGAACTTACCCTTGATTCCCGCACTGGTACTCTGTCACGCGGCGAGGTGCACACCTACGAGAATATGCAGAATCGCCACCCAACTGAGGAGCTTGCCCCTGAATGTTTACTTCAGAAACCGGTTCCATTTGCTAATAAAGAAATAAAGATCGTGAAAGATATTGTCGAGAATATCAAATATATAGCTAACCACATGAGAGAGTCTAATGCCGACGAGCAGGTAAGGACAAATATCTATTTCATTTAGGATTCATTTTAAACGATTATCATATCAGGATCTTTTATACTTGTAACCTTGTGTTAAATTAAACTAAAATTAGGAAAATTACATCATCCACGGCGAGTTTGTATTTTGCAAGAATATATTTTTTTTAATTCGGAGTGTGGGCGCTCATGACTTACGACAAATTCCTCCCCCTTCTTTATTATCTGTGAATTACAATGAGTTCTTCGAAAAAATTGTGTAGTGGTTTCCTGTTGCTTTCCACCAGTTATGAATTCAGTGTATACCTTCTCTCAGAGTGGTGGCCACCCAAGTCTAAACAACCCAATGAATCCTAATATTTAATCCATATTTGGGAGGAGGAGAAGAGATGAATTCATGCTTTTTCCAAGGTCATTTGTGTGAAAGTGAATGCAAAAAAACTAAACTAGAATTTGAACACGATTACACTTTCTTCGACGATATCCGTTACACAAGCCGCAAAGTCAATGGAAATTCTCTTCTTGAGGAATGGCGTCAACATGACACCTAACAACTCCAGAACATTTTGGAGATTCCTCACGATGAGTAAACGATGGCCGTCTTCTGGTGCTCTACAATCTTAGCCTCATTTACAATTTTCCCTTAGTGCTATTTCAATTTTCTAGCTGATATTCCAAGTGCCCCTATTACTACAGGAATTACTTCAACAGTCATATTTCATATCTTCTTCAAATCCCGAGCCAGATCCTGGTACCTTTCAATCATTTCAATTTCTTTAGAGTTCACTCTTGTATAATATGGAACAGTAAAATTAATAATTTAGCAATTATTAATTTCCTTATCTATCACATGGTTCAATTCGTGCTCTAATGACATGAGCGGATTGGACAGAGAAATTCCATAGTATCTTGTGTCTGTCATTTTATCCTATTCATAATAATATTCATATTATTATCATTTCGTAATATTTAAATTCTCTAAAAGGTGCTACTAAAAATCTTACGATAGCAAAGTATGTTGAAGCTGTAAAGTTTTGTAGTTCTGTAGGTTGTATAAATTCTTTTCTCTTTCGACAAGAAACAGAGAGAGTTCAGTTCTGTGGTTTTAATTTCCAAAATAAATTATTTTAGTATTTGTCGCCTTTTAAATTGTTCCTGCTGTTCCCTCATGCGACTGTAGTTTTTATTTTTAGCGCAAAATTGTCCTGGTTTGAATAAACTTTCTTCTGTTAAGAAATACTTCAGTCAGTATTTTGCAGACGATTATGTGAAATCAAAATTTAAAATGCGCATGCTCAGAAAAATGAAAAATTCTTTCATTTTATTTTCATAATGTTTTCTTATAGAACAGACAAATTAATAATTTGGCAATTGCTGATTTCTTTACCTATCACAAGGTTCTATTCTTGCTTTAATGTCATGACCTGATTCTTTCCTTTTAGTTTCTAATGTTTTCTTACGAGCGAAATTGACAAGGACATTGTTATTGTATATACGAAGTAAATGACAATTTCGTTTTCGATTATTTTTTGGGTTAAACATGAAGGGTGATGATTACATGGATATTTAAAACCATGTGATCATCAGTCACATGGAGTCTAATATTTATATTTGAAATAAAATTCTTAGTACTTGTTGAAGAATATGTATTGATAAAGCTTTGAAAATATTGCACTTTATGTGTTATCGATTCCACACCGAATTCTAAACACACACAAAAATCATGCTCATGAATTACGACTATGCTATTGTTTAAATACTCGAAGGACATTTGTTTTGCATCACAATCATTTTTTTTCTATAGACATATTTTTTCTTTTGACATTTATATGAATATATACAGTATGATAAAACTTGAAATTCATTTCAATTCGGTATAAATTGCGAAAAAGAAGCAAATATATTTTTTCTTTCTTTTTCCAGGTCATTCGCGACTGGGCTTACGTGGCTATGGTGGTTGATCGGATTCTGTTGTATCTATTTAGTCTGGCTGTGGCGATAGGGACCATGAGTTGTTTTATGGCCCCACCTGTTCACTACGACAATGCAGTAGCCCTCGACCCTGCCTTGTTTGAAAATATGAGTTGCAATTATTAATTTAGTTCAGCAACCAACATTTACTTCCAGACTTGATTGATATTCTTCGATTCAAAACGATGACATAATTAGAACAAATTTCAACAGACAGCCACTCAAACAAGAAAACAATGTACACATACATTTCAAACTGCATTTCCGCACCTATAAGAATATATATATATATATATATATATATATATATATATATATATATATATATATATATATTCTTTTTTTTTCAATGTAAGTAAACATATTCTTATTGGTAGATGAATAAGAAACAATTAACTGAAATTAAATGTAAGAATCACATAATTCTTTTTATTGGTTGGAATGAAAGACTAGTGTTAGCGTAAATTAAGGTAACCGGAATAGATGTATTTAAGCTGAGGTATGTGCACATATTTGCTTATATACATATAAATAAATAAATTACATGGGGTTGCTGATAATTTCTAAATTCTGATCATTGGATCAGATGTTGGGAAATGGGACTGGTCGGTAAATTTCAGCACTCCCACAAAGTACTCACATTCTCACACTCACGCATAAATAAGGTGTGTTTTCAAATACCAATGTTCATTGAGTTACATACGCAAATCTTTCACTGTATTTATCAATTTGATTGTCAAACCCTTCTGCTGATTCTCATTTCATACCAAATCTATGGCTGTTCATCAGCCTTTTTCATGTAGTTTTCTTCCTATTTGATTGTTTTTTTAATCGATCATCTCTTTTTAGGTTCTATCTACCAGGGTTCATATCTATCTATCTATCTATCTATCTATCTATCTATCTATCTATCTATCTATGATAGGATGAAGAACAAACAAAAAACGTATATCTAACTTGTTTCACTTTTATTAAAGTTTTCCTATTTGTTCTTTATCTTATCTTTCTGTCGAATTCCAATGCAGATTTGATCTGTATTTGATGCAAATACTTTTCCTCAAAGATACTTTTTACTCATCATCGCTTGCATTATCAAAAACTAACGAGAAGAAACAAACAGCGTTTTAGGCAAAGTCAAATGATTGGTCATCTGATTGGTCACATGATTGGTCATATGATTGGTCACATGATTGGTCATATGATTTTCCATTTTATAGTCTTTTCATAACGAATAAAACTGACTTCCTTTTGAATATGGTCACACGTTGTAGTGCAAGGGTTAGTAACTTAAAACCATAGTTTTTCAGTTCAGTCCTTAATATATATCTCATTGAATATTTATCCGTACTTAAATTACAGAGGCCATGATAAGATTCATGGAAAATCCCATCATATCTCGAAAAAAAGGGGAAATGTTTATCATACTGAATGTCAGCAGAAAAAAATCATATCAATAATTTAAAAAAATACTTTTGGGGTCTGTATAGTATTTATAGATAAATTTATATTTTCTTTTGCCAAGATCTTTATAAAATGTTTAGCAATTAATTTATTCGTTTTAACCAAAAGGAAAATAACAAATATTTTGGGAATGCATCAAATTCAATAAAAACAAAAATATTTCATTTTGAACTGAAAAGAAATGACAGAAAAACAAATGTAATACACGCCATTAATACAAAGGAATATTTATTTATTATTAATTTTTTAATATTATTTATAAAACATTTATTTTTTATTAAAATTATTTATGAACAATATTTATAAAATATTTATTTATTTTAAAATTATTTAATATTATTTATAGAATATTTATTTTTCATTAAAATTTTTTATTGAACATTATTTATGAAAGTTTTGTTTATTTTAATATTATTTAATATTATTTATAGAATATTTATTTTTATCAAAATTATTTATTGAACAATATTCATAGAATATTTATTTATAGTTAAGAGTATTTAATATTATTTACAAAACATATTTATTATTAAATGGAATCATTATTGATTGATATTTATTTATTTAATAGTATTTATTGAATATTTATTATGAAAAGTAAAATTATTTAATATTATTTACTTACTTTATAATTTATTACAATTTTATTTATTTATTATTAAAATTATTTAATATAATTTATAAAATATCAAATTATTCAATATTATTAATAGAATATATATTTCTTATTGAAATATTTGTCTAATATGTTTGTTTAAAACATTTATTTATTATTAGAATTATTCATTCAATATTATGGAATATTTTTATTATTATATTATTCAATATTATTAGAGAATATTCAATTATTATAAAATTATTCACCATTATTTATAGAATATTTATTTATTAATCAAATTATTTAATTTTACAATAAATTCAGCATATTTATTTATTATTATAAATATTTTTGTTATTTTATACAGTATTTATTATTAAAATTATAGAATATTAATCATAAAATATTTATTAAAAATATTCAATATTATTTAAATCCTATATATCTGTTAATAAAGTTATCTAATTATAGAATATTTATTAATTTATTATTGAAATTATTTATTCAATATTATAGAATATTTTGTTATTGAAATTATTTAATATTATTGTAAAAAATATATTTATTATTAAAATTATTTAATATTATTGTAAAAATATATTTATTATTAAAATTATTTAATATTATTTGTAGAATATCTATCTATCATTCATCTATCTATCTATCATTTCATCTATTTCATTCTGTTCATATCTATCTATCTATCTATCTATCTATCTATCTGATCTTCTACCTGAACTTTAATATTGTATCAATATTCGGGACGCTCCTTTTAAAAATAATCCATAAAAATTAGAATGTGGTCTCGATTTTTTCCTGTTTAGTTTCTTTGCATGGCGTGTATTTGTTTTAATCTGGCCAATCTGATTTTAGATAAAAATGGCACATTCTTTCTTTCAATTTCAAATTCATCCATGCCCGCCTCCTCCCATTCACGAAATAATTCATCCAATTTTTCTTCCTTTATATTTACTTAATTAATTTACTTAATTAATCGTGTCCTTAAATTAATATCCGAAGGTGTAATAATGAATCAATATTTAATATAGATATTGATTTAATTAGGATTTAAAAGAAATCAACATGGAACAATGGTTAAACATATTAGTCTCGCAGACATTTAACTCCGGTGGAAAATTCTACATTCACTAGGTTTGGAAGATTCCACATTCAGACTTTATTATCGAAGTTCAAGTTATAATTCGTAAGGATTAACACGTTATGTATACACAAATAATTGTACGATTTTAAACAAACATGGCGTCTAACTGTGGAGCACTAATCAACACAAGTTAGTCTTGCAAATTATTCCAAATGTCGTTAGTTACACCACAGCATTTTTGCACCACAATTATGGTAAGCATATTAATTAAAAACGTGTTTCACGTGTTTTCGGACATCAAAAATTATGTAATTTAGTTACAAGCAAAAATAATTCATTTTAAACTACGGATAAGAAATGATAATTGATTGAATATTTTAGAAAGTAGAAAAGGTAAACCTTTACTGATGTTTAACATGTTTACACATTCAAATTTTGAAATATTTCTTTTTCTTTATGGGAGAACTGAAAATGTGAATAATTCCTTTATTGTAAAACAAAATCAACACGTGATGTCGTTAAAGTAAACACATTATAATATCGTTTTTTGAAGCTAGTCATTCTTATATTTATATCTTTATTACTCGTAAAATTAATTAACAAGCTGTAATCAGAGCAAAGATTGTTCAACATGTTTATGTATTGGTACAAGTGGGCACAGTTCTCAACTTGATCCACTTTTGAGAATCAATGGCCAAACATCAAGAAAATTGTTTTGGAGAGGTGGGCCGAGGCGAGAAGTTTTCAACATTTCATCGTAACAATAAAAAAAAACCTTACTTTTGCAATCATGTCCATTTAAAAAGGATATCTTGCTAGCAATTTAAATGAAACATGAAATAATTTGCCTTAAACTTTGTCATACCCCCCCCGCCCACGACCTGTTGAGGAACTATTTTTACTTATCTAGAACTCATCTCTTTAAAGTCTCATTTTGCCTTCAAGCAAGTTCATCATACTTTTTTCTCCGTTGCACAAGACAACTGGTCGTAGCATTTTAGGGCTGTCCATTTTTGTAAAGTCATCAATATAACAGTAGAGAAACTCCAACGGAAGCAAACATGGCTTACTAATTCTTTCGTTAATATATATATATATATATATATATATATATATATATATATATATATATATATATATAAACTATTGCGTTTAGTTTAGCATGAAACAGACTGTTGCCTATGGGTGTTGACTTCAATGTCCACTTTATATTTAGATACGCTCTATCGCTGATATTGAGCACTTTAACCCATAAATATAGCATACCATAACACTATATTTTATCATATATATATATATATATATATATATATATTTTGTTGGATAGATGTGAGTTTGTGACCCTGGGTTTCACGCTTTAGCGATCGTCAGACAAACTCATATAATATATAAATAATTATATATATATATTTATTTATATTTATATACACTTTTCACACACACACACACACACACACACACACACACACACACACACACACATATATATATATATATATATATATATATATATATATATATATATATATATATATATATATGTTTATTTATTTGGTCGCATCAATCCAACTAAATATGTTAGCTCTATCACTGATATTGAGCGCTTTCCAATAAGTACCGCGCATAATATATAAATAATATATAAAAATTGTATATATATATATATATATATATATATATATATATATATATATATATATATATATATATTATATATATATACACACACACACACATATGTGTGTGTGTGTATGCATGCATTAATCATTTTAACCCAAGTGAAGCAGTAAATCCCTTAAGACACAAAGGTTTACTGAGTCTGAAAGAATAAGAAGTAAGAGAAACGTTATTAAGGTGAGAGAAGAATACTTATGAAGAAAAAGTAGATAATGGTTGACATCGCATTTAAAATTTTCTTGATCAAAGTTGGCTTGAAAGCATGAAACCAGAATAAATTTCAACAAGCAAGAAGTGTGTGAAAGAAAACTGTTAGCATAGAACTTAGAGTTACATCTAGACATTTCAATTGTAAAATGATGAGACCTAGCTGCCAATCTAGTACTGAGCCTAAATTCATAAAGTCTAGGTATTATAGACGAAAATTCATTAGAACACTAATCATGAAAGTATTTATAGAAAAAGCAGAGGGAAGCTACGTTACGTTGGTGGGGGATTGGACTGACGCCGAGATGCCAGGTCAGGACCATTAACAAGAAGAATCAGTAATCTTAATCATCCTGATTCTTCTTTGGAGTTTATCAAGAATCTTTTAATATATAGCAGGCGTTTCAAATACACACATTAACACACACACATATATGCATAGATAATTTGAGAAATACGAGTTATTAAGACTAACATAAGCAATAAATTTATTCTCATACTTACATGTGCATTGAGTTTGCAACACGTATTACGGCAAAACATAGCTGGGTTATGATTTTTGTAAAATTCGTAGCTGAACCAATTGAAAAATGAAATATTTTATTTGTCAAACTTCTTATGCAGATGATGATTGAGAAAATGTGATGGAACAGTTGTTTTAGGTTTTCTGTCTTTTAGATAAAAAAAAATGTTTTTCCTTTTTCGGCCGTTTTTTTTGGCCTAAAGTCAGACAGATGCTGCTAGCAAGGGAACAACGGTTAAATTTGTTCCGACCCCCAAAACATCTGCTTTGATATTTGGACTGACACTTTATCTTCATCAACACCATCACCTCCTCCTCCTCCTTCTTCTTCTTCTTCTTCTTGATCATCGTCGT